CCCAGAAATGAGGGCAGTGAGGTGATTTCAAGCCCCCCCCAAGTTCCATCTCACTGTTCTCTGACATACAGAGTGAGAAACACCACGCTGCTCCCAAACCCCATCCCCTCCACCCCCAGGAAAATGCATCGATGGGGGCCAGGGCTCCGCACCCCCCCACCCCACCGCTCCCCCAGCACCACCTCGCTGCCCCCCACCCCCCGGCCTCATCCCTTACCCTGGCGCAGAGCGGGGCGAGCAGGCAGGCAAGCAGCAGCGGGGGCCCCATGGCGCAGCCCCGGCCCGGAGCGACAATAACGGCAGGGACGGCTGAGTGACAGCACATGTGCTGAAGGGGCCGGGCCCCCCCGGCCGGCCGGCAGCTGCCCCGGCTCCCCCCCCCCCGCTCCTCCCGCCCGCACCGCGGGGCCCGACGTGGCGGACGGCTGCGGGGGGAGCGGGGAGGTCGGGGCCGGCCTTTGGGAGGGGGTCCCGAGATGCAGGGGGCGATGGGAGGGGTGTGGGGTACGGGATCCCCCCCGCGCTCAGGAGAGGAATGCGGCAGCTGTCTCCGGGTGCGCCCCGGGGATGCCGCGACGGGGCGGGCGGGCAGAGCGCCGCTGTTCCCCTCGCTCTGCACCGGGCCCGGCCTCCCCCCGCCTCCGCCTCCCGGAACGGCCCCGCCCGCCCCGCGGCCGCGTTGCCGGGACAGGTGCGGGGCCATCTGTGCTGACGGCAGGCGCTGGGCGGGGGGCCAGGGCGGGTGGGAGGGGGGCGGTGCGGCCTTCCCGGCCCTGACAGCATCGGTCCCATCTCCATCATCATCATCATCCCATCCCATCCCATCCCATCCCATTTCCAAAAGCCCTATTGACATTATCAGCCCCATCTCGCCCCCGTCAATTCCATCGCTATCAGCCCCATCCCCATCAACTCCGTCCCCTCTCAGCCCCATCCCATGAGCCTCGTCCCCATCAGTCATGCCTCCATCGTTCCCACCTCAACCCCAACAGCCCAATCCCTGCTATCACCCACATCCCATCTTCATCATCCCCATCATCCTCATTCCTAACCCTGTTGAACATCCGTTGCCACAGACATCCCAATCCTATTCTCATTCTCATCAACTCATCCCATCTCCAACAGCATCGTCCTTGCCCTCATCACCCCCCATCCCATCCCATCCCATCCCATCCCATCCCATCCCATCCCATCCCATCCCATCCCATCCCATCCCATCCCATCCCCATCCCCATCCCCATCCCCATCCCATCCCATTCCCATCCCATCCCATCCCCACAGCTCGGCGAGGTGGTGGCACCAGGTGGCAGCATCGCTCCGGCCACCGCTGTCCCCGCACCCGGGGGGAGGCACAGCGGGAGCGGCAGGAGCGGCCCGAGGGGGGACGGGCTGCAGCCGATGCCACCTCCCCAGGGCTGGGCAGGGGCCGTGTCCCCTGTCCTTTGTCCCTGGCAGGTGAAGGTGCGGCGTTTTGGTGACATGGAGTGGCAGTTCCACGTCCCCGTCTGGAATTCTCCCTTTTGGGAGTGCCCTAACCACACTCAAACCCCCCTTCCCCTGTCCCCTCTCTTCCCACAACACAGGGCATCTACTGCAAAGCTCTGTGGGATGGAGGTTAGGAAATGGGGCACGGAGGCAGGGGACAGGGGACAGTGCAAAGAACATAGGACATAGGACAGAGGAGGTGAGACACGGCACATGGAAGGACATCAGACATAGGACATGGGTTGGGGACATGCAAGAGGGGACGTGGGACGAAGGCTGCCCTGCTCCCATCCACTGAAGCCTGGAGGTAGCAGGGCTGGGGGTGGCCGAGGGGACACGGTGGCACTCACTGGCCTGTCCCCATCTGTCCGTCTGCTCTCACCCACCCACCCTCCTGCTGCCACCCCACACAGCCCTGCAGCCCCCCGTGAAGGAGATGGATGGCTTCACAGCCCGTGGCCACCACACGTAATGGAACGGTTGTGCACACATGATGGGAGCATCCACGTGGACGTGGCTGGCTGGGAGACTTGGGGGGGGCAGGGGGGTGGCATGCAGCCCCACCCCCCCCAATGTGGGGGGAGCAGAGCACCTGGCTTTGGGACACACATCCCCACACTGCTGCTCAGCTCCACGCACCAAACTCTGCCTTGCTCAGTGGGCACGGAGGCGGCGTGACCTCACATCGCCAACCCCGTCCTTAGGGGACACGAAGACACCCCCGGGCCGTGTGAGCCCCTCACTGCAGGGTGACAACCAGGTGTTCTGCACTATTTGCTACCTGTGATCATCCATCAGAGCCATCGATCGCGCTCCCGTGGAGTTTTATTAATGATCTTGTCACGGCGCCGGCGCTGGGTGCCGGGCTTGTCGGGAATGATGGATCGTGAAGAGCCCTCGCTGCGATTTATTCTCCGGTGACCTTGTCTCTCCCCATTGTTGCTTGCTTAAGAGTTATGAATGTGAGACATGATAATTTGATATTGATCTATTTGGTGAGTTACAAAATTTACTGCGTTGCTGATGGCGTAACACAAAGGATCGGAGCGGGGCCGAGCAGGAGCGGGGCTGGGAGCCCTCCTGTGCTGGGGTGAGCTGGGCACAGTGCTCTGTGCCACCATTACCTTCCCTTGCGGTTGCTGTGTGTTCACCCAGCTCGTTTTTGGGGGCTTTGTTCCACGCTGAGGAGCGGGGAGCCCTCGGGGCAGAGGATGGGACTCCCAGGCTGCGCACTACGCCGGGTAGAAGCGCTGCAGGAGCTCCTTCTTGTTGACTTTCCCCATCTGGTTGCGTGGGATCTCCTCCACCACTATCAGCTCAGTGGGGATGGTGTAGGGGGCCATGGTGTCCCTGCAATGTGAGCACACGCTGTTAGAGCCCAGCCGAAGCCCCTCACCACTGAGATGCCCACCTCTGGGGGCTGCTTCTGTGTGTGCCCCCACTGCGTGTCCCCAAGGATGCTGACAGCTGTCCTGCTGTGCACGGCAGCGGTGTGGCACGATGTCCCCGTGCCCTTTGCAGGACACAGCAGGGAAGCTCTGCCTTTTGTGCTGTGTGTCACCAGCTGGTGCCGTGCCCAGCCACTCAGTAGGGTGCTGGCACTGATGGTGACACGAGGTGCCAAGTGTGCCCGTCGGCGTGGCCCCGCTGCCATATGTGTCATGAGAGCCACAGAATGAATCACGCTGAAGAGGGACATGTGTCTCCTGCCAGGGAGCGAGAGAAGGGCCGAGCAGATGGAAGTGACGTGAGAAATAATGTGGAGAGACAGGGCGAGGGAGAGCAGTGCCCACAGCCATCTCCTCCCCAGCATCAATGGGACACCAGGACAACAGGTGGCACAGGGGGGACCTGGCAAAGCCCCAGCGGCACAGCGAGGGTTTGGGCTCTTTGTTTGGCCCCCGCTGTGATTGCCCCAACCCTGGTGGCTGCAGCCATGCCGGCAGCTCATCAGTGCTGCTGCCTGGAAGCAGTGAGTGCGGGGTGCTGCAGCCCTCACCTGGCCCACTCCTTCAGCTCCTTCACCGACAGCATCTCCCCTCTGCGCAGCTGCACCACGGCGCTGACCCGCTGCCCCCACACCATGTCTGGGGGTCCGATGACGGCCACGTCTGCAGACAGAGCAAAGGATGAGGGCTGAGGGGCTGGGGGCTCATTCCAAAGGCTGATGGAGCTGCTCTGAGCCCGGGGCCGGGCTCCGGGCTGCAGGCATCGGCCCCAGCGCCGCCCCGTGGCCCCACACCTGCCTACCTGTGATGTGCGGGTGTGCGAGGAGCTGCCGCTCCACCTCCAGAGCGCTGATTTTGAAGCCCCCGTTCTTGATGATGTCCACCGAGGTGCGGCCCTTGATCCAGTAAACACCGTCGTGGTAGGCTGCCGTGTCCCCTGGAACACAAAGCGGGATCTCTGAGAGCCCCCCACGCCATCCCACACAGCTTCCCCGGGGAGCCCACGGATGGGTGCCAGCCTTCTGGCGGGTGCCGGGGCTGCCGGCAGTGAGCAATCAGATGGGGGGGGGGCAACGTCAGGAAGATGAGTGCCCCACTGGAGGCTCCATCCCCCCCTGGGGTGGGCGTTGGGGGGGCGGGTGTGTGCTGGTAATTCCTGCTGGCGCGGGGGAGGGGGCTGCGGGAAGATTGAGGAGGGGTCACGGCAGCGCAGCCCGGCTAAATGCTTAACAAGCTGTTGCGCTTTGATAGCTACTTAAGATGATTACTCACATCCTGCTAATAGCGCCTCCGCCAAGCGGTGGGTGAGGAGGAGGGGGCTGTGCCTTCAGATGGCAGCACGGGCCGGGGGGGGGGCTCTCAGTGCTGCCCCCGTCCTCATCCTCATGGCACATCTCTGCCTTTGTGTCTCCCTGCTGCCCAAGGCAGCTCCCAGCATCCCTGTGCCCTCTCCCGGGAGACGGCAGAGGTGACAGGTGAGGTTTGGAGCACTGTGAGATGACACCAGCTCCCGAGCCGTGCTCTGCTGCCCATGCATTCCCAGCACAGGAGCAGGAGGTGCACACGGATGTCACCCTGTTCCTGCACCAGCAGCTCTGGCTGTGGCACAGCTGCTCCCTGCCACCTCTCTGTGCGGCACCGTGAGCTCCTCGGGGCACAGCCATCGATTACAGCCACACGGGGATGGAGAAACGGGTTGGTGAATCTGCATCCTGTGATCCCACACCTCGCTCCTCCCGTGGAACAAAGCCAGGAGGCAGCAGCAGCCTCAGGCACACGGCACAGCGCCGGGGCGCAGCTGATGCTGTGAGGCCGTGGGATTATTGTTTCCCTGGCAGAAGCCATCAGCACTGCCTTTGGATTTGTTTCGAGACGCTCAGCGGGCATCTGGTCGGCAAGGTGCTGGCGCTGTGCTTTGCTGTGTGCTCAGGAAGCTGAGCTGGGGGCAGGGGGCTTGGCGAGGCACGGGGGCACAGTGCTGAGCCCCAGGATGGGGCCAGGCATCTCCAAGTGCTGCCCACATGGAGAAGCTCCATGGAACACCTCCACCTCGCAGTGCTCAGCCCAGCGGGCACTGAAGGAAGGCGTGCAACCATGCAAGCTTTGTCTTTGGTTTTTGGGGTGAAAGTGCTTCTGTTTATAAGGGAAAAGCTGATTACAGAGAGTTGCTTGGATGTGACTGCTACAGTCACACGCACGCCTTGGAAACCCTACTGCAATGGAAACACTATTTCCAAATGCAAGGCCCAGAGATTTCTGCAATGTTTCAAGTTGCAAAGCGCTTGTTGCAAAGATGGAAGAGCCCTCGCGGCCTTTGGTTTGCAAAGCAGAGAGGTCTCCCAGCAGCAGTCCTAGGCTGAACAGAAGGCTGCATGGAGCAGCGCTGCAGAACAAATGCTGCCCAGTTCTTGTGCTAACAGCCCTGCACGATGGTCAGCGCATTGCTGGCAAACACTGCAGTGCTACAACATCAAAGGTGCCATCAGCAAACATTTGGGCAAACTGCTGACTGAGAGAATGCTTTGGCTGGAGAAATGAAATGCTGGAGGAGCTCTGAGACAGAAGAAATGCACAAAAGGAAGCCCTTCAGGTGAGCCCAGAGGAGCAGGGATTGGGTTGGGATGCAGAGCCAGGGCTGAGCTGGGAAAACCCAGGCACTGAAGTCAGATTTACAGAGCACAGCCAATGGAGAACCCGTTCCACGGCTCCATGATCTTTGAGGACCTCGGAGGGTCCGTCCTGTGACTCTATGATCTGGAAGGTCCTTCCAACCCAACCATCCCACAGCTCCACAACCTTCAAGGCCCCTTCCTCCCCCGCCATTCCACGGCTTTATGATTCTATGGCAATGCCACCCCTGCAGCCCATCCATCCCTCCCGGCGCAGCCCCAGGTTGCAATGCTCAGGGATCTCTTCCCACTGCTTGAAAGCAGCCGTGGGAGGAGATGGGGGCGGACAGGCAATCAGCAGGTGAGCACTGAAGGACTCCTGTGGGAATTAACCCAGCCCCCCCAGCAAAGTGCCCACCCCGAGGGACGGGGCTGTGTGATACGCGCGCTGCGGGCACACACACACCTTTCCCTCCCCCTGCACAATGCAAAGCGCATCGATAGATCCCCCATCTGCTCGCATACATCACACACTTCACTCCGGTTTATTAGCTGGAATAAATCATAAATATTTCATTATACATCAACGACGCTCGGCTGCGGGAAGGCGCAATCCATCACCTCGACACTCCTCGCGACCTGCCGCCACGCAATAAGCTTTCCAGTCTATTAAACAAGATTGATACAGTGTGCCGGGACGGACTGGGGGAATTTATTTATGGAGCAATGGGAGAGGGAGGCATGGAGCACACGGCGATGCGTGGACACGCCGGAGCTGCTCCCGTTACCTCCTTGGAGATGGCAAACTCCCCAGCTCTGGGGAGCAGCTCTGTGTGCATAAAGCTCTGACCCCGTGCTGCTCGCTGCAGTGGAGGTCACTGCGTGCTGTGCTGGGGTCCATTGGAGGCTCTGAACATGCACCTACCCAACAAAACACCGTGACTAAATAGCAGGAGCAACTACAGGTTGATTTATGGCATCGGGATGAATAATGCGTGTCACTGCTGACAGACATCTTGGCTACGAACAGGCTGCTCCAGAGGTTAGAGAACAAATTGTAGCTAATTAGCAGCAATTAGCACCTCTGAAATGTGGGATTTGGGCTCTGTGTGGAACAGGGCCTCATGCAGGTTAACTGCCCAGGGTGCAGGGGATTCTCTGCTCACCTCTCCTGTGCATTCAGCGTGCACAAAGGAGCCCCTCAGCATCCTCCCCTCCAAACGTGCAGGTGGAATGTCCCAAATGTGCAGAACTCCCAAATGATCAACAGCCACAGCTACACCAGTGCCAGGAGGAGAACAGAGATGGAAGAGCCCAGAATCCAAGCCGTGTGCCAAGAGTCAAGCTGGCTGCAGCATCTCCTCATGCAGGGGTGCTGGAGCGAGCTGCTGCTGGGACAGAACTGCTGACATGCAGCAGGGTGACGCAGGGCAGGACGGAGCTGAGGTCTGGCTGCCTTGCCCCACTCCTCCCCTGCTCCAGCACTGAGCTCAGGGCTCCCTCAGCTGCCAGCACACCGAGGGCAGTGGCTGGTTTGTGCTGCGAGCATTAATAACGCATCAGAGCTGCCGGAGGGGGAAAGAAAGCAGGGGAGGGGGAAGCTGGGACTTCTTTACGGAATGCATGCATATGGAGAACGCAGCAATTATTAATGAGGAAACCATCTCCCTCCCCAGCATCTCCCAGGGCTCCGGTTTGCTTGGGTGAAGTGCAAAAGCCCCTCCAAAGGGAGCGGGTTCTGCAGCCCAACCTGCAGCCCAGACCCCCTCCACAGGCAGAGCTTCACCCCCCAGGGCTCAGCGCTCTGCTCCCTGAGGTCAGGGTGAGGACTCCCCTATTTCCCAGATGAGGGTTTTGCCTTCACCCAGCCCAGCACTGGGGGGGTTTGCTGCTGCCTGCGCTGCCAACGGGATCAGGTATGGGGATGGTGGGAGTCTGCAGCAAAGACAGACGTCCTAAAGTGCCCCCATATGTGGGGCAGGGTGCTCACAACACTGGGGGATGATGGGTGGCTGTCACCCTTTGCAGACCATTGAGGCAGAGCTGGGCTGTGAGGCTGCTGCAGGTCGGTACCGGCACAAAACCTGGAGGAGATTTAATGGCTCACAAGAAAGGAAATAAATCCACTAGAGCAGAATTGCTGTTTGTTTGCGTACCTTGCCACGCTCACCAGCACGAGCAGCAGCAGCAGGTGGATGTGCAAGCACCATTTATTTACATAATAAAATTGCCAATGAGATTTGCAGCTCAGGGGCATCCTCACCTCCCTGTGCACGCGCCTGGCTCCCACCAGCACTGATGGCACACGGGCAGAGGATGGACCCCTGCCCACCCTGCCTGCCCACCCCAAGAGCTGTGAGCTCAGCAGTCGATTCCCCACTTCCAAACTCCTGCATGCAGCACTGGGAAAAGGAAAAACAAGGAAAAAAAAAGAAAACCCTGCTCAGCCTGGAATGAATTCGTGTCACGCTCCATGCAGGGATTGTCTGTTTGCATTCTGCGTGCGGCGGAGCTGTGTGGTGAGAAAGGGCAGAGCCCTGCAGAGATGAAAGGCTGCACAACCTCCCCTGGCATTTCCACCTGGAACAAAACTGCACCCAAGGGCATCTCCCAAAGTGCCGTGCTAGCAAGGCACCGCTCGCTGAGCACAGATGGAGCTGCTACCTGCAAGGAGAGAGCTGCAGATAAGAGAAACCTGATTGCTGGGTGGTGATCCTGAGCCCTGCTCCACGTGCTGCTCCCAGGGCACACCGGGGACCTGCTGCTGGCCTCGTCTTGCTGATACATCAGTGATCCCTCCCCTGCCCAGCTGCAGTCTTACAGCTTCTGGAGCTCGTTGCAGCAGAGCAAGATGCCAGGATGATGCTTGCTGACCCCACACTGTACCCACGTCTCCCCTCAGAGCTTGCTGGCTCTCTCAGCTCCATTACTGCCCTGCAGCCCACTCAATGCAAATCCCCTGCTGCGTCCTGCATCCCAACGCAGCCACATGTGCCATGCCCTGTGCCACCACAGTGAGACTTCGCTGTTATTTGGACCCAATGAAGGGTTTGTCCACACTGCCCAGCTGTGTTGGCTGGGCACGACACTGCCCCATTTTCTCAAGGAATCTCAGAATCACCGAATCATTCAGGTTGGAAAAGACTCCTACAGTTCCCAAGCCCAACCCCAACACATCCCACAGTGCCCATAACCACATCCCTCAGTGCTGCACCTCTGCAGCTGTGGGACACCCCCAGGGTTGGTGACCCCACCATTCACAGCACAGTGCTGTTGGGAGAATCCACGTTTCCTAATATCCATCCCACACCACGGCTTCGCACCCTGC